AAATATCTTGCCAGTGTCACTGCGCACGAAACCCCACGGCAAGTGAGTGTGAGAGTCACTGACACCCGGGCACAAGCGCGAAACTTTCTTGAAATGTCTGCAATTGTGGGCCAAGGCGGTCCACTTTGGCCGCTGGCCACCGTATGCACAAGCCTGATGAACTGTGAAAGTTGCGGGGCAAGGGATCTCCAAAAACTGGTTTGCCAAAACCAGGAACTCCGAGGGTTCTCCACACAGAAGACCAAACCTCTAGCATGGCACAGGTTCAAAAGTTTCACAAGAAAAGCATAAAGACAGTTGGCTGCATCCGCCCTGATCTTGTCCTTTCCGTGCAAGTGCGGAAGCCCATCCGGGTATTCCTGGGATCGCAAGGGCATTGGTTGCGGAATGCGGGAGCCTGATGAGTCACGAAGCACAATTTGTCTCGCAGCGCTGCATGTCCCGCAAGGGGGAGCTGCATGAATGCCCAACAGCTGGTCGCTAGATGCCCAAAGCAAACATAGCTCCTGACCGTCCTGGGAGGTCAAGTCGGAAATCAAAATGGGGGCATTCGGCATCTTCCTAGCATGATCAACGCCCAAGCTGCTGTTCAAACCTAAACGTCGCAAACAAGAGGTCACTCTGGCTGCGCCAGCGAAAATCTCAAGCACAAAAGGAGCACTCAGAGCTGAGGGTGCTGGGCTCCTGCAGGAGTCGCCCACAACGTCATGCTTGTCTGAGACAATGGTCTCAGTGTCACTCAAGTTTATTTCAATTGGGTCGGGAAAAGATTGCTCGTCGGTATCTTCCAACGGCAAAGGTCGTTCAGAATGGCGTGCCTCGCGCGCATGCGGCAAACCACTCCTGTGGAGACCGGCTGCACTGCTCATCGCATCCGATGAAACATCATCCGGTGCTAGGCCGACTTCCGGTGCTCTTTGAGGGAATGCGGCTCGAAGCACACGCAACAAAGGTGCTTACCTTTCACGCACTGCCCATCGGTAACACTTCGGTTGCAATGTGCCAAGACGTAGTCAAAGCAGAGCGGCGATCCATCTGGTGTGGTAGCCACTCCCCCAGCATTGAGGATAGCATAGGGGGTAGCCACCTTGCGGGACTTCCCCTTTGCATCTTTTCCTTTGGATTTCCCCTTACCCTTGCCGGACTCCTCGTTTCTCAGTTTCTTTGCAGGTGGCGGATTCGGCGTCGCCCTTTGGTCAGCGGACGGCTTTCCAGGAACCCTGGCGGGCAACGGCATCAGCGTAAAGCTCACATGGTAAGACTGCAATGCTGCTGTCAGTGCAAGGTCCATTGGATACGTTCCATCGGGCTTCCTACGCGGCTTCACGTTCTCCTCGATCAACCGGATAAAGACCATGCGGTCCGCCTGCACCAACTGAGAAAGCGAACAACGTTAGCAACCCGGGGGAGGCTCACGACTCGTGTGCATAAACAACGTCTGTAGATAACGCTCATAAGCTGCATGCGACACGGAATTGCTGAAAACGTAAGCCAACCCACGACGCTTGAAAGCCTCCTGCAAGAGCAGCGAGTTGTGAATCGTCATTTCTGACACCTCAACATGCTCTCTCACCACCAGCTTGTTGGCCTCGAGTTGCAACTCCTTGGTGCTTGGCTTTCCTGTCGTGATTTCGTGCATACGCGAGGTGCACTTCTCTGGCTTGATGTACTGCAGCTGGTTGGCTTGGTATTGGTTTGCACATAGCTCCAACAAGGCGTGGCTTGGCTCAAGCGGTCCTTCCACTATGACCCCCACAAGAGAGGTTTTCAGATTGTCCATCCTCTTCTCTCTCTCTGCATCAGGAAGACGCCTCGCACCCTGGCTATCAGGGTTTGAAACCTGATCTCTAAGAGCTGCTAGCACCATCGTCTGCGACTCAAAAAGGGCTCTCTTCAATGCCGACAAATCCCCAGGGAGATTCCTTCGCCTGCAATCCCTTTCGCCCACTCACCGAAAGCGCCCTCATCCAGGGGCTGGCCTGGCTGGCCAAACGCATAGGCCAGACTTCCCAGCGTAGCAATACCATTCTGCTTCAGCGCCCTAAGCACACCAGCACCCAAATTGATCTCTTGGGCTCTTTGTGAGAAATGAGCCTCTGATTCAATAAGCAGAGCCATCTCAAACTACGGCAAAGGTTGGAACAACCCAAGTTTAGCACCCAACACCAACATGTAATCTCAAAGGTCATCACACAAGTTACAAACCTGCAAAACAATCAAGCTCAACAGAAAATATTCTGTTCACACTTGAGCCGCACATCTGCGAAAGGAATCCAACAGATTCCACAGGAAACCCCATCAAGTATACTGCCATCGCAGCACACTTGACACACATGCTGCCATCGCAGAAGGAAACAAGCCTCCATGAGCTCAGGATCGCCATCATCTGAGCGACCCGACCTGAACTGATGTAAAATCCCATGGCCATGCATCTCGGGTCCTGAGGAAGCACCATGTGAAGATTCTGCAACATTTCCATCTTCCATGTCGACAGGAGGATCTATGACCCTTGTCGTCCTTTTCCTCCAGGGCATAAAACCCCCCTTTACCCGAAACACAATCTAACGGTCCAGCGTGTAAAACCGAGACAGCCTCCTCAGCAAAGGTGTTTGCAACAACTGTAATTGCACACCCAGATGATGAAAAAGGCGTTGACGGAAACGTATCCGGCAAAAAAGGCGAAGAAAACGCGCCCAACGCTGCACAATACGTCGCTGAACCGCTGCTCGTGAAAGGCACGAGCCCATGGCACAAGGCGCCAACTCCAAAAGATGGGGACAACCCTCCCACCTCAGCCCATGCTGCATCATCTGAGGATTGTCAACACGATCCAGACAAAGGCAAGTCTCAAGGCAAAACATGTTTGCAATCGCTCAGGGAATGCTCAAGGAAAGTTTTTGGGCATGAAAAATTAAGCATCTTAATTTTTCATTCTTTGTCTCTGAACTAATGTGCTATCACGGGTCACCGCATACCTGGTGGGTGACTTTGACCTCCCACCCTTCGATGTCGATCTCACGCCCTTCTGCGACGTCCGTGGTGTCGCAGGTGAAGATGACGATCTTCTCGGTGGGGATTCTCTTTGCTTCGACTCCTGATGAACATCGATCTGCTTCCATGATCTTGTGGGAGTGGATATATCGCTGAATAGCGCGGAACCTCCGCTCCCAGGTTCGTCCTGTGAATCTGCGATCATATCCATCACCGCAGGAAGAGCCATCAATCCATTGGATCCCTCTGAGCTGCTGTTCCCAAAAGTTGCAGTACTTGGGCTCGCTGAAGATGCCATTGTACTGTGTAGGTTATCGGTCCTTTATTGTCCCTGTACCCGCAATAAACCAGCTGTCTCTCTGTCCAGTGTAGAGCTTGTAGATACGGCTGATAACCTGTCAAGAGACGGCAAGGTGACGTCCCGTGGGACGCTATGCACCGAACCCTCCAGCTGTAATACCAACCACGTGGAAAGAAGAGTGAAAAGGTGTATCTCGGACGATTGCGTTATTAGCCGAAACCCGTTTGTTAAATTGTTTGTTAAGGGGGAAGATATGATAGTTACAAACAGTGGTCTGACAAAATTTTGCAGCGCAAGGAAGTTCAGTTTTCCGCTTTCTCAATGCCGTATCTCGTTCTTATAGTAGTGATATCATGAGAGGAATTTGCAGCCATCCCTTTTGATTTCTTGAACCTCAATTGTGTCTTGAGTGCTAAAGTGCTTGTGTAAGGGGGCGCCGGGTTTTAGGTCTCAGGCACGGCCACCTTCTTAAACTGACAGGCGGTTTGAGAGTCGCGCGCATCTTGCGCGTTCATAGCAGCACGCTCCCATCTCCCCAAAATCTTCACCATGACGAACGAGGAAACTCTGCCATGTTGGCTAGTTGGGCAAGTGCGCAGCCACATCAGAAATGGATATCGGAGATCAAACAAAATGAGAGGTTCCCAATTGCAAGGCTTCCAATTCCTTATGGGCAGGCTGATTTGGGCTTGGTACCACGAGCGATCAAAAGCACGGTCCAATAGAGCTGCAACTGTAGCAAGGAGGCTGCTACGCTTACTTGGCTTGCTCGTTTTGCTCTCGTCTGCCACGGCTCCGGCGCCAATGCGCTCGCTTCTGCAAAGACTGCGAGCAGTGCAAGCAGGGCTCGGAAAAAGGGGCTGCAGGCAGGCATTTGTCTGACTGCTGCCCAACGCCGAGCCTCTACACACTCTGCTGGAAGTGTGGCATAGCTGCCATAGCGCAGCATGGGAATGAATTCTGAAATGGCCGGCTGTGGGCAGGAAGATTGTCATCCCTAAAATAAAAACTGTTTCTATTTCCTTGGCAGGCCGAGCCCTCGCTGAATCAGTTTTGGTCGCAGCAACTCTTTCCTCTTGCAGCTACAACAGCCGCAGCAAACGTCTTACTTAATCGCCTACTAGAGGATTTCAAAGCAAAAGGGAAACCAGGCGGATCTCGTCCTACCGCCGTCTTTCCTTGTCTTCAATGCGGGCCACCTTCAACAACAACAGTCCAAAGGTCAACAATCAATAACTAGTAGCAAAAAACACATGGCCCGTAGCAATACGTCCCTCTATACTCCAAACTAATTTGGCCTGGTGGTTTGGAGGATAGGGGGTCGGTGTCCCGTTTAAAAGATCCAGGGGTCAAAACCACAAATCCAAAACACAAGCCAAAGCATTTTACCGCCCTACCGGTCAGGATTGACTATCAACACCGCGCCGCGCCAAAAACAAATGGTGGTTTGCAGATGGGCCTGCGCCCAAAGTTGCCCCAGCCCCCCCCCCCCCCCAATAAGAAAAACCAGCAACAACAGAGCACAAAAGAACAATTGATGTTTCAGTCAGAGAAGCCCAACAGTTGGCGAGGGTTGGTTACATGCCAGGCTAGGACCAGCCGGTTAGCATGTGGACATCAAAAACAAAACGGTTTTGCTACTCAGTTGAAGGCGTTACCAACATGGCACGAGCACATGCCTGCCCACAGCAAAACTTCAAGTTGCACAGCGTTGCGACCACAATGCTACTCTTCTGCTACTTGAGCAGGTGCTGCGCGCTCTTGAGAGCTTTGTTCTTGGGATCAAGCCTTTTTGGCCCTGCATCCTGCCCGGAAGCTGCACAAACCGCCCTATAACCGACTTGAAGCAACTCGCAACCTACCTCGGGCTTTTGACAGGTCGGACGGCTCATGTCTGCGTCATCCGGCAATTGCTCAGGGTTGGCAAGGAAAGGCAAGTCAATCTTGAACGTGTTGGTGCCCCCGTCCGCTTCGCCCTCCCTCTTCAAGCAATCGAAGGTCACCGTCATCTTGTCCGTGCAATATTGCATGTTCGCATTTTTGGAGACCGGCTTCACAAACCAGCCTGGCACCAAAGAGTTGCTGAACAAGGATTTGTGCTGGTCGCCGGAAACAAAGAGCGGCGCCTTCAACGTCGAGCCGTCGCTCACCACCTCAGCTGAAATGGTTGCGGGTCTGTGGAAGGCAGCGTAGTCTAATGCCCTAATGTCTTTTGTCCGGGAACACGCATCCAGAGTTTAAAGCAGAGACCAAACAAAAGTAAGCTCCTAGGCTCCTAAGCTCCGTGCACACAAAGGGATGCAATTCTGCGACATCTCTGAGGTGACGGTCCCCGCCAAGTAGAAGCGCGTGCCCGGAGGCATCGACCTTGCCTTCAACGAGGGGGTCTTGCTACCCAAAGAGAGCCCGCAATAAGACATAGCCTTCACCGATGCCCTTGAATAGCATCTCTGAAACAGCTCTTTCTCGATTGAGGAACAGATCAGCTTGATGGTCATGGCGTTGAACATGTCGTGAGGGATGACCACTTCTGGGAGCAAGCCACCAAATGGCCTGCCTGGCGCAGCATCCTCGGGCACGTACGCCAGAATGTCACGCAGAATTTTGAAGCCCCCGTCGTCGTCGACATTCTCAGGCGCACCAGCCTCCAGAGTTTCCACGCACAGGGGCGCGTCAGCCTCCACTGGCTCCTCCTGCCCAGGAAGAAACCCTGAGTCCCTGTCACTAAATCACGCACTATAACGGCCACCGCAAGATAAAAGAAACAAGAAAACAGCCTCGCTCCTGATAGCTTAGCTTTGACAAAACGGGTGTTCGGCGCTTGGCATTCAAAATTGAAACTCAACAAGGGTAAGCCGTGTTTGACTGTGAAACAACAAAACCGAATACCTTTGTCTTCCCCCCTCATGGCTGTCAAGAACATCTCAACTGAGATGCAACTGTCGCAACTCTCGCAACTAATAACTTCAAATCTACCTGCCCTTTCTGCTGGCCACTTTTTGCAATAAGCTGACCTCAGCTGACGCCTGCCATCGTGGCATCTTGCTAATGCACGCAGGCCGCTAGGGTCGGCCGGCAGGCCGCTAGGGTCGGCTTGTCGGGATGTCTGAATTCCAATATAGTTGCCAGGCGCCAAACTGCGCTGAAGGGCGACAAATCAGACGTAGAAACTGCAAGAACTACTTCGCCCTATCGAGCAATCAACCGTCAACCTTTGTGAGTCGCACGCCATCTAAACAAAGACTGGCAACAACGTCGCGCTGCCAAACGCAGAAACCAACCAACCAACCAACCAACCAACCAACCAACCAACCAACCAACCAACCAACCAACCAACCAACCAACCAAAAAAACAACCAAACAAAACAGCCAAAGAAACACAAGACAGGCAGACAGACAGACAGACAGACAGACAAACACAGAGACAAAGACAGAGACAGAGACAGGGAACGGGCAGGCAGGCAGGAAGACATGCAAGCAGACATGCAACAGGCAGACAAACAGGCAACAAACAAAAACAAACACAGAAACAAGCACAGAAACAAGCACATAAAGACAGACAGACAGACTGACAGACAGAGTTCCTGACTGACCAACCGACCGACCGACAGACACGGGAACAGACAGACAGGCAGACAGGCAGGCAAGACAGACAGAGCAGACAACAACAGACATACAAACAAACGACAAACAAGCAAATTAACGCAGGACAGTTAGAAAGACACACAAGCCGTCAAACAAGCAAACAATCAAACAAACAAACACAGGCAAGCAACGCAAAACAGAACCAGCGAAGCGCAGTAGCAAAACCAGTAGCAGTAGAAGTAGCGGTGGCTGTTGTTGTCATTGTCGTTGCAATTAGTGTTGCAGGTCGAGTCGCTGACGCTGTTGCTGCGTTGCTGCGTTGCGGTCCGGTTGGTGCTGCGGTTGCTGCGGCTGCGGCTGCGGCTGCTGTTACGGCTGTTGCTTGCCACCAATGTCGCTGTTGCCGTTGGTTGCGGCCGCTTGCTTGCTAGCTGGTTGGCTGGGTTGGTTGGTGGTTGATTGGTTTGTTGTCATGTTGTTTTTAGTTGTGCTTGTTCGGTTGCCCTGTTGCTTCCTTTGAAACTTGCTTGCCGTTTGCTTGTTTTGTTTGTATTTGTGTGTGTGTGGTTGTGTTGCTTGTTTGGTGCGCTTGCTCCCTACAGCTACCACGAAAAAACCAACAACAACGACAACCGGCGACGGCTCACAGCGCGACGCGCGTGCAGTCGAGCAAGACCAGCAGCAAGCAGCAGCGGCAGCAGCAGCAACAGCAACAGCAAGAGCAACAGCAGCAGCAACAGCAGCAGCAGCAGCAGCAGCAGCAACAACAACAACAACAACAACAACAACAACAACAACAACAACAACAACAACAACAACAACAACAACAACAACAACAACAACACCAACAACCAACAACAACCAGCAACACCAACCACCCCGGCCACAGCCGCGCATACACACCCACAGTGGGAGCAGGCAGGGAAAGGGTGCCTGGACAATTACAGTTGCAGTTGCAGTGAACTCAGTTACAGGTTCAGTTTCGCTTGCCTTGCTCAACCTGACATGTGACACGGCGTGATCTGACCATGACATGTCAGCATCAGCGTCTACGTCCCCACTGTCTGCCCAGCCTTGCAAAAAAGCCGTGTTTCGAGATGTCGCTCCTTCCTTCATGGCAATCCAGAAGTAAGATTCAACATGCTTGAGGGTTGGGTCAAATTCTGGAGCTCTCAGAAACAAGCGTCGGCAAGATCGCAGCGCTGGCAACAGGCAGGCTGGCTGCAAAGGTGACGGGTTACTGGCTCACGAACAGGGGCGCCAAAACGAAAATGCAAACTGGAGGGGCCCCGTCAAGATACAACATCACCCCGCCTCTTGCCTGACTCGTGAAAACAGTTGACTTGAGCAATCCGGTCACCGCTAATCTAAGATTCTAGAGCGCCAGCACTGCCAGCTCTGAACTCTCACATTGCGCGAGAATCAAAACCAAAAAGGATCAAACCGGCATGGGCTGTCACTAGCCAGAGCCAGAGCCTTCTTCGCCCTCGCTGCTCGAGTCGATGCAGAGCGGCCCATCCCCACCAAAAGCGGGCGCAGGAGGAGCGCCTCCTGCGCTCATCTCCTCGACTTGACCTGCCATCTCAGAACTGGTCCGCGTGCAAAGGATCGAGTAGAACCTTAGCAGCCAAACTGCTCTAAATGATGGAAACCTCTGCCTCACAATGACCAACCGCCCCCCCAGCTAAAAATGGGACTTTAACTTTAAAGGCCACAGCAACGCCATCGCGCCACAGCACGCCACGTTCATGGAGTTGCCCATCTGGGACACAACTGACGCATGCGTGCGCTTGCGCGGCACGCCCTCCGCAGGAGCAAGCTGCAAACCGCTGGCGGCATCAGCTGCAAAGGAGCAAACCAAGTGGGAATGTTTGCTCGTTGGGCTTGCAAGCTCAGGGCGGACAGGAAACGCTTGGCTGGCAAGCAATTCGGACGGGGCCAACCATCGGTCTGCGGAAGGCAACCAAACGACGCCGCAATTCTTGATCATCGCGTGAAGCACTCGCCCCTGCGACGCTTGGCCGTGTTTGTCCGGGTTCTGGTTGAGCGAGCGGGCCACAGAAGGCTGGTGCACCTTTGCGTACTTCAGCTCGAACTCCTGTTCTTTCCTGAGGGGCCAAACCGATGGCAATACGGGCAAAGCATGAGTCGCTCCTTTGAAAACTTAAAACAAAAAGTAGGATGAAAGAACTGCGGCGCTTTGGATCAAGACCTCATGACTACGGCGGGACATTTACTGACAAGTCAACTGCTGACCAAGCGTCGCTGTCAGTGCCTCCCAGAAAGGTCGCGGAGACCTCTTCAGCTCATCCAAGGACTTGCCAGATGCCAAAGACTTGGGTCGTGTCATCGCCCACTTCAATTCAGCATCCAGCTCATCACGCGTAGCAATCAGGTAATGCGAGAAGTCAAAAGAGGCGGCCACGCACCTGTAGAACATGGGGATCACGTTTTGCAGGCTGCTCCACGATTGCGTGATCGTGGAGCGGCTGATGCATGCCCCCCACATTCTTTGCCGTCTGGAAGCTGTCCCAAAATTCATGGCATCAATCACCACAAAGAAAGAAGCGTACTTTGGGTTCCACGCCTCTGCCAAGATTGATGTGTCATACATGTGGGAGCACTCAACGATGACGCAGTCGTCCTCGTCAAAAGAAAAGACGAACAACTGACAAACAACAAGAACAAATGCCAATCACACAGGTGAATGTGTCGCCTACTTTGAAAAACACGCATCATGGTGGTTCGCCACATCGCGTGCCTGAGTCACCTAGCAGCAGTCACGCGCCCTTCACCCCCCGTAATGACCCCGTGATCGTCTGCAAGAGTGAAACAGCCACGCGCTAACACCATGACCAATGAGTTGGCAACTGGCACTTGGGCAACAAGCGCCAAGCAGGAAATATGCTTTGACAAACCCTGTTCAAGCACAGGCTCTGGCAAACACCAACCCCAACAACAAGTTGGTCTTACTCAAGCCCTTGGGCCAGGGCGGTTGTTCGCTTGGAATGCGAAGGGCCTAGTTGATAGCTAGTGGCAAACAAGTCAAGCAAAACTTTGTTCAAAATATGGCAGCTCCTCTACGTCCAGGACCAGAGCTGCCATTGCGCACCAGCAATCAAAATCCTCAGAATCGTCACGTTGGCGGCTACCTTGGGGCGACCAAGACACGCATGGAAAGCCTGCATAGGCTTCGCGGCAGGGCTCCACGACGCACTCCTTCTGATGCAGCACGCAGAAGGAGGTGCGCTTTGTGGCCTTGCCGCTGTGTAGCATGGGCATCACCGTGTGGCGGTTGAGCGGTAGGCCTCTCTCACGCACAGATTGGATTGTTGCCAGCACCTCGGGCTTGAAAAACCCCTTGATGTCACGAAAAAGATGCTTCGGCTTGCACGGCCCCGACTGAAGCTCATCCTGACAGCTCACGTTCCACTCCACAGCGCTCTCGTGCGATGGCCCCTCCATGCTGGGGATGTTCAAGTAGTCTTTGACCATGGCCGTCATGCTGTAGAGCGCAACTCCCGGAGCATCCACCCCGCTGAACATTGTCCTGTAGCGCCTTCCCCTAAGCGAGTGTGCAAGGTAATGCAACACCCCATTGGGCATACGGCGCTGGCACACACCGGCGTACTGGTCAGGCCAAGCGCACATGCCCGGGAGGTCATGCACGATGGGGCGATCTGTCTCGGCGGGCGGCCCCCACCCGGCGGGAAGCGTCCAACGGGCAACGTCACCCTCAAACATCTCCGGCAAGATCAAGCAGGTCTGAGGTGGCTTGGGGGGCGCCGTGGGGGAAGCAGGCACTTTCAACAGCTCGTCTGGAACTCGCAAGTCAATGGCTCCAGTCTTCAGCAAAGTCTGCCCATTCCTGAAAAGGGCTGCCTGGGATGGCCCGCTGGACCAAAGGGGAAGCGGCTGCAGATGTAGGGCTGTCGCTGGGTCTGTAGCAATCTCCGCAGCTTGCGCTCCGCCCAGAATTTCCTCTTGCGTGGCTGCGGGCGCCGCAAGGGCGGCAGGCGGAGCTTCCTCCATCGACGGCGGGGCTTGCGGAAATGTGGAAATTGCAGCAGCGTCGGCGTTCACCACAGGATTCTCAGCGGGCTTCTCCTCAACAAGCTGGCTCCGAGCCACCAAAGCTGCCTGGTCTCCAACCTCCTTGGTCCGGCCGGGAGCGCTGGCTGGAACTGCAGACGCACCGGGCTCAACAGCTGCGTTGGCGTTGGCAAAGATGTTTTTCATTGTCAGCCGGATGGGCTGGTCAGCCCCTGGTGGCACAATGAGCTTGGGCTTCTTGGCAGGCCGCTCTTCGTTGCTAGAAGCGATCTTGGCTTTCGCTTTTGCTTTGGCCGTGACCTTGGCCTTTCCAACTTTCGGGGCCATTGCGACAAGGCTCACAAAGATCAAGGATCGGCAAAATGCGTCTGCCAGAGCAAGAGCACAGGGAAGGCGCAAAGTCAACCTCCCCTCCAAACAAAGCTATGATGAGTATTGAGGAGCCTTGAACTTCAACATGCTCAGTTCAGTGTCGTTGTCCGGAATTCCCCACACGATTGTTGCGCTTGCGTAACACTGCCCTCGGTTTCCCCACAAAGCAAAAAGTTACAAACACGAACGCGCTCCTTGACCTTCATGTTCACAGCAGATCTGCGACCCTCAGGCTCACCCGGGCCGTGGGTGGACACAGCAGACAGCAACTCCTGAATGCACTGGTTGGTGGAGTCCATGTGTCCTGCGGGCAAGCAAGACATGCTGGTGGAGATCCTAACCACTGCATGACCTTGACTAAAGCCAAAACGCAAAAATGGTGCCCCATCCTTGGGCGCACACTGCGGCTGACGTCACACCGTTGGCAGCCGCCACCTTGGACACGGCAGTGGCAATGGTGGCAGCAGCGGACGCGTTGGGCTCTCCGTTTGTGGGCAAAGTGTCCAAGATTGCCTTGATTTTGGACAGGCAACCAACGATCAGGTCTCGCAGGGCCACCCGCAGGGCAGACCAACACTTAAAGGGCTTTCCACTGACTTGCACAGTCCCCTCAAAGCAGAACTCCAGGCCGAGCGAGAACACAATGGACCTGATTTGGAGCAAAGGCTTCTCATAGCACTTGCGGAATAGCCAAGACTTCTGGCTCTGGACCACATGGTTGAAAACTGCAAGCAGGTCATCGAGGAAGGTCTTCTCACGCTTCTTGGCACTGTTTGGGGCGCTCGTAGTGTCCAGGAAAATGTTGCCCATGCACATCACCGCCTGGAAATCAGCACTGCCTGCAATTGCGTCATGCGGTCCTTCGCTGTCCAGGCCTGGCGCATCATCGCCAGTCAGAGCTTGCGCGTCTTCGACGTGGTCGGACATAGTGATCTCGCCCCCGAAGACTTCCCTGCTTAAGCGCTCCTCTGGGACATCAATGCCGGCGTCACCCCCGCTGCTGCCTGCCACCGCCTTCTTGCGCCGCTTCCCTGACTCATCAGGGTTGTCATCCGCCTTGCCCCGCTTGCCCTTGGCAGCCCCGGATTTGGCCTTTGCGGCTGACTTGCCAGCCCCGTTCTGCGGCGGGTTGTAGGCAAGGCTCGAGCCCATGGGAGTGCTCACTAACCTCAAAGTGTCCTTGTCGATCTTGGTAAACACCATCGGCACCTCCAGCTGCAGTCTTAAGGGCACAGCCGAACTACCAGTCATCTTTTCGCGCGTGGCATGGAAAGAGCGCTGGGGAACAATGTTAGGTTGGTTATGTTGCAGCTAGTCAGCCGTGCAAACTTTCCAAACTGAAGCAAGTAGTTGGCCCTGGCTGAAGAGTTGAAAGGAAGAGTTGAAAGACAAAACGTGGCCAGGGCTGTCTTGCGCAGACGTGTGGGTTCGGGTGTGGCTATGAAACAGTGAAACATTAAACAGTGCATCACAACACGCAACCGGCACGAGTCAAGCTGCATCCCGTTTGGAGGTAGGCACTGAGCAATCTGGCAGGTCGCAATCCTCGGAGACGCTGGGAACCATGAAGCGGCTGCCCTCCAGGAAGAGCTGGAGGTGTGCATCCGCGGGGATGGAGTCCTGGTATTTCTGCAGGATGACACTCCACTCCTGCAAGCAAGTGATCGCAGTCACTGTGTCCAAGCGGGAGTCGTCAAACATTGTGATCGCGTCCAGGAAGGATTGGAAAGCTGCGGACCAGTGCTTGGTGGCAAGGAAATTGGCGAGCGCCTTTGCATCCTCGAAGCAGTTCTTTGAAGGGTAGTCGCCGTCGAAGTTGGTCTGCCTGGGCGAGCCGACATGGCCAGCTTCCCTTGCAAGGAACCCTCTTGGCCACTTGGCCGCTCTTGGCTTGTGAAAGTAAACTTTCAAAACTTGTCGGAGTCGAAAAACAGTGTTTCCCGCAATGCTACCAGCACCACCGCCAACGCTGTAGTAAAGAAAGCAAACTAAATGAGAAGCGGGAATAAGGGGCTCATTATGATTCCCGATTTGACTCCATCCGCACAAAAATAGCAGAAGACATGAGTCCCTTCAAAAAGCGCTTTTGCAAAAAGACAAGTCCGTTGAGAAATTAAACTCGTGAAAGGTCCGCCTACTGCACTTCGGCTGAGGCTCACAAAGTGCCAGCACCTGGCAGCGAAACTTTGCTCGCCCTTGCCACAATTGCCTGCAGTGATGCGGTTCAGCTTGGCGTGCGCCAGCCATGCAAGGTTGTGGTTTCTGGCCTCCATGAGAATGGACAAGAACGATTTCCCAAGCGCATCTGTCCATCTATTGTGGAAATCCCGCAGGAAATCGGTGACGTCTCTGGGGGTCTTCACGTGGAACAGTATCACCTGGTCCGCCGTCCGCGGATTTTTGTAAATGCATGGTTAAAAAAAAGCCAGGGGCCCTTGGCAGTAACAAAGTTGGGAGTAGCCTGCGTCACGCAGCGCAAACGCGGAACACGGCTCGTGAACACGGCCAAAAGCTGACCATCCAATCCAGAATCCAGGTCCAATCCGCTAGCCCGAGCACAGAACCACCTACTGCGCTTGCGCTTGGGCTGTTGGAGCTGGAGCCGCGCGCCGTGCGCCTCGGCTTCGGCTTTGCTCCCGCGCACGCGCGCGCGCGTGTCAAGTCATGACAGTCGTGAGACAGTCGTGACAGTTCACTGTACGGTCATGCGGTCATGCCGATTGCGGATAGCCGGGCCAATGGTCAACTGCCACTCGTCATAGATTTTCGGCGAAGCAAGTTTGCTGCAATATCGCTGCCAAGTGTTTGCAGATCTTGAGTCAGTGGGTCCTAAGCCTCAGCAGGTTATCTAAGCTATAGGCCCCGACTTCAACAACTTCCTCTCCCACTTCTTCCAAAGAAGGTCGTCTGCCAAGAAGGGCCTTTTCTCCCAGAAAGGAAGTAGAGTATAAGCAAGAGGCAAAGTGGTTAGAGGAAATAGTTCCCTTTCATGTTTTAATTGTCTTCCAGTCTTCCAGGAAAAGCCTTCTCTGCAAGAAAGGAAAACGTATCAGCGATGAGCTCGTGTGCAAAAAGACGTCAAATGTCAAATGAACCAAAACAAGTCAAACAGACTGAACCCGTTCGCCTGAATTGAAGGCACACGAAAGAGGTTACTGGTCGTCGTCTTCCATGAAAGGTCTTGCCTGGCCCGCCAATTATCAAAACCAACAGGCCCAACAGGCTACTTTTCCAGTTACCTCCCTCAGGAGGTGAGCGGAAGAGGTTGTCTCCCATGAAGGAGTTTCAAAAAAGCAAAGATATGAGCGCTTATTAGCCACAGGCTCAACCAGTCAATCGCCAATGCCAATAAACACAGAAAGCAAGAAAGCTCACATGGACCAACACACTGCCTCCCCAACGAGATGCTATAAGAGCCTTTTCCCAAGAAAGGAAAAATGTGTGAGCGATGGGCTCAGTCGGAACACATGGACGAACACGCTGCCTCCCCCGCAACTGAAGCATTTGAAGGAATAGCTTCAAAAAGAAGTCGACTTCCATGAAGGGGGCCGCCTCTTTTCCCGAAGAAAGCAAAAGAGGAAGCAAGAAGTGCAAGAAGCTCAATCGGTAAACAGGCGCCAAAAGCTCACACGTCGACCAACACGCTTCCTCCCCCCAAGAGTGAAGCAGTTGAAGCAAAGTGAAAGAGGCCTGAAAGAGGTCACTGTTTCAAGACTAGGCCGGTCGTCTTCCATGGAGGGTCTTAGTAGTCTGCTCCTTTATCGTATGAGCCAGCATAGACTGCATAGACACACCAAACAATTTAACGGATGAAAAAAAAGCCAGCATAGCTCATAGCTGCCAGAAAAACCACAAAGGCTTTCAGAGTCTCTAAGGCCCCTGCCCCTGTCAGGGGACGGCTCATGCTCCGCTTCAAGATCTCGTTGTGCGGTTCGGCAGACGCAGCGCGGTATGCTGCGCGAGTCAATGAACCCCACGACAGCATCTGGTACGGTGGCGCGTTGGAGGCCGACATCAATGCCCAAGGTTGCCCACGAATCTCCGGCCGGATGCCGTACTTGAGGCACTTCTTCTCCAACTTCCTGATGTGCTGCTCATGCGGCCGGTAGTTATCAGGATGCGGCTTCATCAACGGGTTGCCGGACTCATCCCACCAAGGGACTGAAGCTGAGGTGCTGATGGCATACAGGTCATAGATACGCTCAAGTTTCTCTGCGTCAGGCAGATCTGGCCATCGAGCTTGCACAGACACCATGGGCTCAAAGATCTCGCACCCGTGGCTGCCGCCGCCACCACTCCCACGCGCCGCCGCTGGACCAGCCAAAGCAGAAACCGCCATTGCAGCTGCAGACAAAGGCCCCGCTTCTTAGGGTCTGAGTAGGGTCGGAGGTCGCTTGTCTAAGCCAAAAGTGCAACTGGGACACACACGCGCACACACACACGCACGAGCGAGCAACTGGCGAGCAACCAAAAAAAAGGCGTCAGGAGTCAGCTGGAATGACACGGACATACGCAGCAACAACAGCAAGCGGCTGACCAACAGGAAGTGTCAGGAGTCAGCAGCTGACGGCGCAAATTCTGCATGCGGCCGTCAGGAAGCAGCGCCTGACCATTGCAAGCGTCGTCAGGAGCGCGATCCTAACAAGATGGGACTTCGTCAGGAACAGACGGCTGACGACGGGGTGTTGTCAGGAGTCACTGCCTGACAAGCATGACTTCATCAGGAACAAGGGGCTGACATGATGAAATTGTCAGGAAGCAGTGGCTGACAACAACACCTTCTCAGGAGTGTAGTTCTGACAAGAGATGCTCGTCAGGATTCAATGGCTGATGAAGTTTGCTTGGTCAGGAACTGACTCCTGACAGCACCGGGTTCGCGAGGAGCTCAATCCTGACAAGATGGCACATCATCAGGAACAGACTACTGACGACGGGGTGTTGTCAGGAGTCACTGCCTGACAAGCATGACTTCATCAGGAACAAGGGGCTGACATGATGAAATTGTCAGGAGGCGGTGGCTGACAACAACATCTTGTCAGGAGTGTAGTTCTGACAAGAGATGCTTGTCAGGATCCAATGGCTGATGAAGTTTGCTTGGTCAGGAACTGACTCCTGACAGCACCGGGTTTGCGAGGAGCTCAATCCTGACAAGATGGCACATCATCAGGAACAGACTACTGACGACGGGGTGTGGCCAGGAGTCACTGCCTGACAAGCATGACTTCATCAGGAACAAGGGGCTGACATGATGAAATTGTCAGGAGGCGGTGGCTGACAACAACATCTTGTCAGGAGTGTAGTTCTGACAAGAGATGCTTGTCAGGACCGAATGGCTGATGAAATTTGCTTGGTCAGGAACTGACTCCTGACAACACCGGGTTCGCCAGGAGCTCAATCCTGACAAATTTCATTTTGGGCAGGAGTGTGTTCCTGATCAATTGCGTGACGTGTTTGTTTAAAACATATATCAAGTAATTCACATTGAAAGCGTTGAAGCGAAACCGTGTTTTGGCGACTTTATCGGGAGCAGTTGCGGCCAACATGTGGGGCCAGGCGCTGGGTTTGCGCGTGGGTGCGTCTAGCTTGGGGCGGACGCTGAGGGCGCTGAGCCTCAGTGAAGGGGTATGCAACGCAAGCCCGTCTTTCTTTTGGGCCCTCCTAAAAAGTCTTAAAAGGCTCAGGAAATGCGCGACATGTCAACTTCGTCTTCTCATCTCACCTTGCATAAAAGTTACGATGGAAGGAGAGTCACAATGCGTCAATGAGAGAAACTTGAGCTCAACTGCCTGGCTGCTCCCACACATCCCGTTGCCCCGCGCAACTTGGCATTATTTTCACACGCAGCAAGCGCGCAACTCAACCCCCTTGCCACGTCCTAGTTTATCTGGACATTGGAGGATGGCAAACCACGGCAAATTGCGCTGTTGCGCGCGCACCATTGCGCAAAACCGTCTCAAAACCGTCAAAGAATCAAAGCCAAAGTCACGCCAGCGCAGATACGCTGGCATGAGATTTGTGCGAACCCCGCAATGCAATCGCAATCGGTGTCTCAAGCAAACGCTGAGCGCAAAAACTGGACAACGGCAGCTCAGCAAGGATGCGAGACAAATTGCACACCCCACAAAAATGCAAGTGAGAACGAAAAACCACGACCAAATATGAAAGAAAGCTACTCCCTTGCAGGCGGGGCCCCAAGGGCCGTCATGCACAGCTGGCAGCATGTGCCACCAGCGTTTGCTGGAGAGAAATGGTGCAACACATAAGCGAGAGATTGGCTCAACATGTCCTCTGGCACGTCTAGCATTGCTTTGGTTTCGCTAGGGCTGGCCTGAGCTGCTGCGCGATTGGCGCAAGACAAATGCACGCTTTGCAGACAGAAAGCGCACACAAGAACTCCATGATCGCCATCGTCCCGAGCAGCGGTGGCGTTGCCGGGCCCGGGCACCAAGCCGCCTACTCCGCAAATGTGACAGGCATCCAGCGACAAACTTTCACATGCATTGCGGCTACCGTTGGCAAACGCAGCTTCAAACATATGTTTGAGTCGCAAAGCATCTGCTGGAAGATCTGGCCGGTCTGCCAGCCGCTGCCTGTGAGGGCACACGCCGGTCAGAGGCATGAGCACCTGCGAGCTACGGTGCGCGCCGCTCACATCACAGTTAAATTCACGGCACCTCGGGTTCGTGGCCACAACTTTGTTGCGTGTGTCAAGGTCAATGATGCGGCCAGACTTGCCCGCAAACCTCCATGCAACAAGCACAACCTCTGGCTCGTCGTGCTGCAGCTTAACCAGGGAAAGTTCAAGCGGCCATTCTCTGCCACCAGGTGGCAAATCTCGTTGCTCCGAAAGCCGACTGAGCAGTGTGACAGTCTTGCTGCATTCTTGAGCCCACACCAAAAGCCGCGCACCAGCGCCTATAGCCTGGCTAGAATCATCATCTGCGTCTGCATCTGCATCTGGATTCAGCGCGCCCCTTGAGCCGCCTGAGCCTTCTCCATCATTTCCAGGCTGCGAGCGCAGAGCAGTGCCAGGAAACGCGAGTTCTTGAAGAGAAGCTTCTCGAAGAGTGTCAGGCTCTGCGCACTCCAAGCCACTGCAGGCAGCTGCAGCAGAAGGCTCCTGCGTGGGCGACACAGGAAGCACATGGCGAAGCGCCACAAGGTCTGACTTGTTTGTTAACACAACACTGCCAAGAAAGCCATAGGCTCACATCTTTCAGCTGGCCCGGGGAAAGTACAATGCTAAAGTGAGTTGCCAAACGCTGGTGGCTCCCCCTCCAAGCCTGCAAAAGTCTGTTCTCTTCCCTCTCCACATCAGCTGCAGTTGCTTCCGCCTCGCCTTGCCAATCTGGCAAATCAACTTCTTCGCTTTCCGAATCTGAGGGGTCCAAATCTGCCAAAGCGTCCGCAAGCTCCTGGAGCAACACGTCCTCATCTGAAACAGCGCTCTGCACCTCATCATTGTTCGCAAGCTCCCACAAGCGTCTGCGCACAGACCCGGCGCGGTGACTGTCAGATCCTCCGCCAGCTGGCGCACATGCCGCCGAAAGCCCAGCGCGACACTCCAACCTTGTCACCAGATCACGAAGTTGTCCGCACTCAGCGCTGCTTCTGACTTTCTGCCGCGGAGGCGGGGCCACGGCGGTTGAGAAGCCGAAACACACCTGTCGCACCTCACCGTACAAGCTCTTGCTGTCACAGTCATACGCCCAGCGGAGGTGGACCAAGGAAGCCTCCCAAGGTGAGCTTGTCTTGGAGCTTGCTGGAGAGCGACGCGGCTCCTCAGTGGAGAGCGCTTACACTATCACAAGAAGGAAAGCTTGGGAGACAAAGTTTCCATAGTTGCCGCGCTGTCTTGGGCTAGGGTTTGGGCAGCTGGTTGTTTATCCATGAACTCGAAGAACCCGTTAACAGAAACATAACAACATGTTGGGTCAAGATGGGTCAAGAGTCTCAAGAGTGTCGAGCTCTCGTTTTTTCTCAGAGATCCCTCGCAATGCAAAGCCCCTCCCCGCATCTGCGCTTGAACATATGTCGCTTGAGCTGGAAATAAAACACGCGTCTGTTCAGAGTTCAGAGTTGGGGAGACTCACTCTACTGAGGGCGTTGGGCCTCATTCACAGCACACATGTTGAATTCGAAATCAGAAAAGGCGCCATGCCCTGGGCCAGGCTTTCAAAGAGCGCCAGTGAGTCCACGCACTGCAGAGGAACATCAATGGTCACTCTCATGGGCTGCCCGCGGCGAGGAGCCGTGACAGTTGCTGCTACCATCATTGCTGTTGAGTACGACTTAGACGCCACGAAATGCACCCGTTCTCCACCCTGCAAGTCCTCAGTAGAATGACACCTGCGTCGTGTGAAGAGCACGCACGAGGCCGCTGTGGCTCGACGCACAAGCCGGTGTAGCTTGAGCTGCACAGCCTTGCAGGCTGCGAGCCAGTGACTGGCTCAACGCTGCCCCAACACTGAGATTCACCCTGTTCTTTGTGTGTGGGCTTGAAAACAAAAAAGTCCTCAAGTTGCCAGCTACCAGCCAACTAGCTGTCTTGAAGAAAGGCTGTCGTGAAGCTGTCTTGGCTTGGAGTCTGGGAGGCAGAGGATTGGGTTAAAACTGGGAGTGTGTCAAAGGTGAAAACAACACCTAGCTTCAAGCTGGAAGCTGACAAACTAGAACCAAGAACTAAGAACGTGGGATCTTGGTTTGGCGCCTTTGGTTAAAACGTGCGCCTGGCCTGCCCCCTACCTTCCAGATTGCGTTGCCACGCTGCCAAAGTGTAACAAGTTGTTGCCATGTCAAGAATGTCAAGCAGCAACAATGGACCGCGACTGAGAGCTGCTGAACTTGCCGAGCAGCATGGGCCCAAGCAGCGTGGGGTGACGCAGTAGCCCTTTTCCTAGCACAGTCGGTGTCGCGCAGATGCAGCACTTCCTCAGCCTTCGCAGCATCTTCGCTGGCCGCCGGACGCGACCATCTCTCTGGGTTCGCCAGTACTGACAATGCGTCTTTGTAGTGCGTCAAAGAATCCTGGCGCAAGATTGCAGTGCGCCAAACATCTGCAACGCCATCCAACCCAAGCTCAAAACAACCGACTTGTTGACTTGACGAGAGAGGCCACAGAGTGCAGAAATGAATCTGACCACCCTTTTCCGGCCAAGCTTGGAACAGCTTCGCTTGCCAGAAGCTCATCTGCGCGTAGACGTCAGCATCAACAAATCAAAGGGCCCAACAGCAGGCTCTAACTTGGCTCTCGAAGCTACCCATCGCAACCCAGCGCGGATCATTGCACTAACTTGCTAGAGAATCATAACATCGTTTTACATAGCTCAACTTCCACCAGAGCAACACCCTGGCAACTAGCAACAAGAGAATGGGAAGGAAGGAACTTTGACCAGGGTGGTGGT